TTGTAAGGCATTCGGATTTATCTTCTCCTCGTACTCGTACGACCTTACAAGTTTGTGAGAGACGTGGTTACCTTCACACATTTTTTCAGTCCCCAAAACAGAGTAATATTGGGTATCCGACAAGACCATTTTATTAATTGTACTTCTGCACGAGACAAGCCGAGATTTGTATTTGCGCTGATCAAAGACGTAGCGAAGAAGCGGTCCCACTTTATCCATGCGACCCTTCACCTTTTTCCAGTAGTCCGCCTCTTCCTCCTCGTCTTCCCCCGCTTCTTCCTCCTCTTCTTCCTCCTCTTCTTCCTTCTCTTCTTCCTCCGCAAGCTGTCGATTTTGCTTCATCCAAGCGCACATCGCCTTTATATCGTCTTTCTCGGGGCAATTCATTACGATTTGTACGGATTCACTTTGATTCGCCCATTTATCATAGTTGCTTAAGTTTGGCGATGACACCACAATCATGCCCCATTTGGTTGGGGGCGCAATATCCGGGTCGGGCGGTGTTCCTTTCTTTGCCACATCGTAAATAATATACCCTTTCATCCCACGCTGCCACAAACCACCCAAAACACTCTTGGATGTTTTATTACCCATGTATTTTGTCACCGTCCTGCTGGTCTTGTCAAACACGTACGCCGTACTTCCAAAACAGTGGACAACCACTTGGAGTTTCTCGACATCGTAGTGCAGCAGCTGGTAGAGGAGGTACGAGCCGGCATTCATCGACTTCCCGATCCCGGGCGTCCCAACCAAAAGATGCGGCACGGGTGAAGGATTGAGAATCAAATCAAAATTGCTGAACCACTTGGTTAGACCGCGCTTCACGATCTGCCACACTCGCTCCACCTCGCAGTTAACAAACAAGTCATTACCGGCCCTATGCGGCCCATTCATCGTGTACGGCCATCCATCGTCCGAGGTGAGCACCATCAGCCTGGGAGGTACTTCACCGGATTTCCGCACACCGTCATCCTCTTCGAGAGTGTAGCCAGCTTTCTTGTACTTCCATGACTGTTCCGGTTTCCCCTCCTTCACTTCCATTCCCGTCCCCTCGCCACCAGAAACTTCCACGACATGATGCCACCTCGCATTGTACACAGACTCGTACAATCCCTCCATTTTTATCGGTGCAATCGTCGTCGTTGGTTTCCTCGCCTCCTCAAGGGCTGCATCCAAAAAACTTTTGGTGATGTCAAGAACACTTGCTCTTATCTCCGCAGAAGCCACCAACCACCCAAATAGATTGCTGACACCATTTTTGTAAAGCCTCCTTAAATCTTTTTCCATATCCATTTCCTCCCGCACAGCCCCTTCCATCTCCGCATAAGCATCGGTTGCCTGTATTTCGCCCAATACTCCCGCATCACGGAAATACCTCGCGGGATCCTTGAAAAACTCCTTCAGCAAAACATTCCGATTGGCGTCCACAACGCCCCTGCCGTCCAGTTCTCTCATAAGAAATTTATTCAGCTTCATTTTATGGACGCGAGCTCTTCCTTGAAAAATTGCGTCTTTAATGCTGAGAGTTAAGTTAAACTTGATTCGTTGCTGGTCCAACCTTGCCCTTTCTTCTTTTTCCCGCCTTGCTTTTTCTTCTTCCGCATCACGCCTTGCTTTTTCTGCTCTCTCTACCTGAGTGAGAACTCCGTCTAGCTTTCCACATACATGAAGAGTGAGCGTATCCTTTCCTTGATATTCCCTCCATTGCTCAAGAAAGAACACACCCTCGTGGTGAAGCCTGCGTACAGCTTCTTCCAAATACATTTCATCCCTTACAGTCCCCTCCATCCTCAAATAAGCATCGGTTGCCTGCATTTCGCCCAATACTCCCGCATCGTGGATATACCTCGTGGGGTCCTTGAAAAAACCCCTCAGTAAGACATTCCGATTGGCGCGCAAAATGCCTCTGCCTTCAAATTCCAGCGTAAGAAAATCATTCAGCTTTACGTCCATGACGCGAACTCTTCCTCTAAATAGCACATCCCTGATCGTAGTAGTTAGGGCAAATCCTACGTGTTCCTCCCGCACTGCCCTTTCTTCCGCCTCACGGCTTTCTTCTCTCAGTAATTGAGTGAGTACTCTGTTTAGCTTTCTCCTTGCAAGTGGAGTGACCGTATCCTTTCCTTCATAGTCCCTCCATTGCTCAAGAAAGTCCACACCCTCGTGATGAAGTTTATAAATAGCCTCCAATAGTATTTTCCTTTCCTCCAGCTCTCTTTTCATCTCTCTTTCCAGCTCTTGGTACGACGGCGATGCCTTTATTGTGTGTAATAACCCTTTCTTTTTGATAAACGTCTCGGGATTCTGAACAAAATTCCCCATCGTGACGTTCCCATTTCTTTCCACAACCCACTCCTCGCCCAAGTTGCTTCGGAGGAAATCGTTCAGCTTCATGTTGGCCCTGTTAGTGGTTCCCTCCAGGAGAATATCCTCTAAAGTGCTGCTCATGGTCCACTGCAGTCGATACATTCCCTCCAATCTTCTGCGAGTCGTAGAGGAGTAATCTGTGTCACCTTCAAATTCCGACCTTGTTCTCCTCCGACCTCCCTGCGAGACATTGGACGATTGACTCTCCACATTGCCGCCTTGTACACTCTCCGGCCTTCCAGACATTGTTTCTCCTTGCTTTCTTAGTTAGTTTGAGTTAGATCTAAACAATAGCCACCAAACAAAAAAGGGGAATGAGAAAAAGAAAGACAATAGGCACAGTTATGAATCGAAGCCACAGCAAGAGACTCACCCACACAGTGTGACGGCACAGTATTCGATAAAAGCCAAATGCACGAGGACCACCGCAACGACGGCGAGTGAATGTCATCCACCCAGCACAGTGTTGGTGAGAGCAAACAACAATAATAACAACGTGGTGCGCACGGAGGGTTCGTCCACGCATACCGCTCGCCACGGTCCCGCACCCGTGTGGCACCGCCGACACCGCACACACTCTGCAAGAGGACGTGGGCACATAAGCCCTGACAGAAGCACAAATCATACACGCCGCAACAGCGATGCATCACGGTAATCCCCCACAAAACAGAAAAGAGTGCAACTTGCATGCTTTATGGAAAATATCTGCGGTGTGCATGGCAAAAGAGTGCCGTGACGCTGCCTTTCATATTGCATTCGCCATTCACGTATCACTTGGAAGCACGCATCCACCACTCCTCCGCTACACTCCCCGTGCTGCTCGTGTCGCTCCACTGGAGGAAGTTGTCACCGCACATCCCCATCACCGTGCATTGCGGAATACAAATCAACCACACGGCATGGGTGCGGTGCCACCCCGCCAATAAATCCCAGGAAATACCCCACTGCCTCGTGTGGCACGGACGGCAGTATCATTATGCCTGCGAAAGGCTTTTTTTCCAAGCAAGAACGCGGCCCCAGCACACGCCCATAAGAACGTTTGGTCCTTCGAACACAAAGGACTGGAGCGGGAGAACAGCAAGAAAGACAACACCGGCAGCCATGAGCAGCCCGCACACGCCAACACACCGCTGCCCCGCATATCACCAAAAATAAAAATACCAAAGAAACATGTCACATCCCAACTGCAAATCGCAAGTGCGGCTGCAGCACACACTCCCACCTCCTGGGCGTGTGCGGCCCCTCGCTGCTCGGCGCTCTAATTGGGATCAACAAAAGCGCCAATTCGGAAAAATTCGACCACCGCCACAGCAGTCACGCTCCCCATTTCTCACAAAGGCGAAGGCTTGCAGTGGCGCAGCGGACAGCGGCACGCACAGTCGTAGGGTAATGGACTGCCGCGGGAATCACGCAACGGCGATGCGCCCCTCCTTTGGGCCTCCCAACAAAAATACATGTATCGCGCAGTCCCCGTGAGCAACACACATTGAACCGTATGCAGCTCTACTACTGTGGCCATCCGCACACACAGCATGAGTGCGACAACGCAGGCCAGGAAGCACGAAATAACAGCACGCATCCCTCCCATAAAGGTCAGGCGGTGTCCGTGCTGCCTTCAACAATAATTCCACCCCACATCGCCCTTCTGCATATCCGCAGCAAAAAGGCCCACACGGTGCACACTACATTAAAAGTTCCTAAAGCGCAAGCCGGATCATCAGAGTGCCGCCTCTTCTCAATGTTGGGTAGAGGCTCCCTGATCCTTGTCGCCGCCAGCCTGCGGTATTATGGAGGAGCATTACGTTCTCGGCATATCTCTCCATTTACTTCACTTTCTCGACACCGCAAATGAACTGACGTCCCACAAGTGATTTCGACCGTTCCGAAGAACGTGACGTATCAGACGCGCTGAAACTGTGTGTGTGTGTTATTACGGGCGAGCGACACAATGCTCTCGCACATCCATGTATTCCGATCCTGCGCGACACCCCATTTGGCGGCGCTGAAAACGTTGGACACCAAAAACGCACAAATCGCACAATGAATGCCTCTGGAGAACAAACCCCCATTAACGTCGCCGCAGGCACCGTGACAACAAAGTAACAAAAGAAATCCGACCTCTGCGCGTCCTCCCGCAAGAAGGTGAAGACACACACGCTTGTTCCCTTTAGTTTCACTCCAACTGTTCGGAATTGATGGGTCTATAGTAGGAAACACGCCACTCTTCCCTCGCTCCCTGTCACGAGGCATGGATGCTGCGAGAGGCTGCCAAGATGAGCCTCATGTGTGTGGAGGACCCCAATGCTCGGGGCAGGTCGACAGCCACCCACACTCAGCCCCACTCACAAAAGGGCAAAGGCAAGGAGAAGAGAAGCCCGCCGCACAGTACATTCAAGAAGGCACACGCAGAAGCACCGCCATCCACATCGTACCGCAAAACAGCAATGCGAACGGCACACATCCACAGCCGCAACAAGAGGAACGAGGCGCATCCAAGTTCACCACAGTCCTTTACTTACCTCACCCCGAAGGAATAGGCATTACGCCTCACAGCAGGTCGTGGCGGTGGCGCCCCACACTCACAGTGAGGCACGGCGCACACCATCCGCTCCCCTCAGAACGCACTCATCAGGGCGCCTAGTCACCCTCGCACCATCGCAATGGGGGCGTGTCAACTGCACAGCTAGCAGTGGGACACCCAATGGGACAAAAAGACACATAGTGTCATTCAGCACAGCAAATTGCCAAATACAGAAAAACAAGAAAAAAGGCGTAGGTTCAGCAGAAATAAATAAATAATAATAAAAACTAAATCACCTCAGCGGACTTTCATTTCGTATATCCCTCAGTGCAGCAGGAATTGTGCATCTCCATATTTTTCTTGCAGAGGGAAAAAAAAGATCGCAGTGTTCCACGTGTCCACACGAAATCCCTCACATTTCATGAGGCACTCGGCCTCTTCCTCCACCGCTCGTTTTGTACAGTCCGCGGGACGCACAGCAATGAGGCCGGCACCGCGTGCGGTGCAACAAAAGCAAATAAAACAGGGGGAAACACGTCACTCATGAAAGTGTGCAGCTAGCGGCAAACAAAAAATAAATTAAAAAAATAGTAAAAAGGCGGGGGTTCTGATCCCTCCTACAAGGCACCAGCAGCACATTATATCCAGAGGTGAAAACAAAAGGGATAAATAAAAAGTCCCCAACGGAGTGCATTGAGTCTTCCTGAGGAGCTGCACACCCTTTTCCACGGGGAGTCGCGGCTCCACTCCCGCCGTCTCACACAGCTGAGAGCTGCAATGCCCAGAGCCCCAGAAGGAGAAGCAACAAGATCCGAGACACACACACACACACACACCGTGCCGTAGCCACTAGAGTCCTTCTCCAAAAAAGTGTTGTTCGTGAGCTGAGATGCGTTTCCATCTTTGGAGCCACCGTCAGTTCCCGCTGGATCATCCGGCCCTTCAAGCATTTTCCCAGAAAGAGACTCTGGAAGAGCAAGGTTGCTGGCACCAACTTTTGCGGCTTCTTCCCGGGTCAATATGCGGTTGCACAGAAAGACACTCGTCACCGTCAAATAATTGTTTTGGCTCCCGGTGTCGCTTGCACTGCTCCCATCCCCTCCAATGTAAAATTGTGAATTCGTGCGTGACCCCTTTCCTGAGGATGATGTCGTTTCAGCATCCCACACACACACACCATTGATCTATACGAAGGCCTTGTTGGTGGTCCTGCAGCGTGAGCACCACTCGTTATTGTTTGTTCAACTCCCAAAGGCCGGTGTGTTTGTTTGCGTTGAACATCACCCCCCAACTCCCTTCATGGCTGTGCAACAGTCAAAAGTGCACAGTGCGGCCTGCTCCCTTCGCGCCAATCAAAGGGATATTCTTGACGCCTGCGTGTGTCTCGCAAATAGCCACCGTCGCCACAAGAGCGAAGTCGTAATTCACAAAGCTACAGTGATTATTATCCTCCCAACGGTTAACGGGTAACATTGCCCCGCGAATTGAAGCCCATTTGTGACATTCTTGCCATTCTTCACCGTTGCAATCACGCAACGGCACTCGTCGATCCACGTGTTGGCAGTGCCTGCGTTGGAAAGGTATCCAACCAGACCCATCGTACTTACGGGCGACGCGGAGAAGGAAGCGTCCACGTCCGCCCAATTACGGGGAATGGAAGTGATCATCTGCAGCTCCTCCGTCAGGGGGGCAGGAAACAGGCTGCTTTTCTCTTCATTGTGCCTCGCTCCCACAAGGTGCAACACACCATCCGAGTACAGCATGGCGTTGGCAATCAGCTTATTCACAGCAGCGTCCATGTAAGCCGGTCCAACACAAAACACGCGGTTGCTGTCAGTCACCCAAACGTAGAGCGAATGGGCCTCACTTTCCCACCACGGGGAGCTCACTTCCCAAGCCTACAGCATGACGCTCTTTCCTCCAACGGTCGCAGTGATAATGGCTCCCACACGCAAGCTCATGCCCCAACGAACCGATTGTGAATTGGCCCATACGCCCGCAATTGCCCCGGGTAATTCCACCCACATTGTCCCCTCGTCACGTGACTCGTGCACTCTGCAGTACCGGCTCCCATAGCAATGAGTAATCACGAGAAGTTGTCCCTGCTCTCACTCGGCAATGAAAAGGTCAATGCAGTTCGCAGGAAAAATGCCCTTGAAAGCACTCAGCTGCTGCCGCCGTCCGTCGAACAGATGATCATGGAGAAATCGTCTTTTTCGTCATTGTACGCAATCACGGGGACACAAGCGTGCCATTCAAAACACCTGAGCCACAAAAAACCCTCAATCCATTCGCACCGCGTTCGTGCGTCCGGGAATGATCTGTGATCACAGCAATTTGGGTTCACACCAGTGGATCAGCTCGCTCCGTCTGCCGTCATTGGGCTGCGTGAATTCACCCACAACCAGTTGAACATCACGGTCTCTCAACGTCCAATTGAACCCACCATTCGTAACAAACTTTTGCTAGCTTCCCGCACGAAGAAACGCCCTATTGCCGCTCTCAATTGCCGTGGGATTGAACGCGGAGTCTACACCACCCTTTATATTCGCTGTGCTCAACACGATGTGTGTATTCCGGCCATTATTAAACTCACCAAAAAAAGACGACAAATTCCACGCAAAAAAGATGGAACCCGCCACAATATCAGCATGAGAAAGCTCACTCGGTGCCCCATCGCTATCATTAAGCGTCGTGTAACCCCCGTCAAAGACAACCGTCACTC